CTCCAACAATATTGCTCTTGATTTAAAAGAGCTTGTGATGTTTTAGGCATAAAGCTGGATTCAGTCTTAAATAGCTGAGCTGCCGTCAGCCTGAATTCCAAGACATGACGGAGCGACAGAGAGGGCAGAAAAATCACTCACTCTCTTAGCGGATGTAAAAGCCAACAGCAGGGCTGTTTTAAGAGACAGAATTTAATTGGAAACCTGATTCAGTAGCTCAGATGGAGCTTAGATCAGGGCTCGCAGTAACAGCGTTAAGTCCCGCTGTGGAGCAAGTGGGCATAAAGCAGGCCTGCGTCTCTGTACAACTTGAAAAAACGCTTCATCAGCAGATGATTAAAAGCTGTTCTGTCTCCGAACCTTCGTGACAGGAAGAGATGGCTGCAGCGCACGTTTCAATCGTGCTGAACACCAAATTTCTGTCCATCAGTTGCTGCAGAAAAGACAGCCCACCGCCTAGAGGATATGAGGTGGCCTCTACACCTTTTAAAAAACGCTACATCAGCAGACGATTAAAAGCTGTTCTGTCCCTGAAAACTTTGTGACAGGAAGAGATGTCTGCAGCATACGTTTACTCGTGCTGAACGCCAGATTTCTGTCCATCAGCTGCTGCAGAAAGGACAACACGTCACCTAGTGGACATGAGGTGGTCTCTACACCTTCTCTGTACACCTTTTAAAAAACGCTTAATCAGCGGATGACTAAAAGCTCTGTCACCGTCTGGTTACGTTATCCGGAGGCGCGGGACACTGGTCCAACCTGGACATCTTGCTCCGAAAAAAGCCTCCGTCAAGGCTCGGCTCCCAAGGCACTGAGGGAATTTCCACTCAGTGAACCCCTCCACTCTGGTGATGGGCGCGGATGTGGGAACTGGCGCCCTATTCTACCAGGACCGGCTGCAGCCTCGTCCCAGAAGGACGTCACCGCTGGGAAAACGAGGCCAGATGGGATCAGGATGGCGAGCCGGCGTGGAGCCCAGAAACCTTCCCGCTGGATCATCCGAACTGACGGGGGAGGCGAGGGACGTAAAAAAGGTCCCTTCATGTCAGCTGCCTCCTGGATTAAGCCGGGCAAACTCCAGAGGGCGGCGGCTGGGAGCGGTGTGGTTGCCGATCTGAAACAAGGTGAGGGGGGCTGAGCATTCGCTTAGCCCCCCTCTACCGACACTACGCTCTCCAGGAGGGAATGTGCAGTGGGGGCTGCTGCTGACGTCGCCTGTCCCGGAGGAACCCTCCGATTCGCTCCGAGGGTCAGCGATAAGAGGAAAATTACAAGATGGTGTCGTCCAGCGTGTAGCGACCTGTCACTGAGAAATACTCCTCGACGCTTACCTTGAAACAAGACTGCTCGTCTGCTTCTCCTCGGGGAGGAGAGCTTACCGGGACGACAGAAGGTTGGCGTAACGTGCCAGGCAGGCTTAACAAAGGCTGGTCAGCTATACAACTTTCCTTCTTCTGACAGTGCTATTAGCTCGCTGAAGAAAAATGGGAGCCGATTACCCACTCTTAACGTAATTTATACGGACCGGGTGGGGCCCACAGCAGGTGGGCGTGGACTAAATTTTTCAGTGTAATGCTTCGCATGACGGGGTAAAACCCACTAAGCGACAGCCGTAAAGGGCAAAGCCTATACGAAATAGAACTTTTGCGTTCTCAGAAAAGTTGTTTCAGGACCTCCAATAAACTTACATCCACATCAGAGCACATGTAGATGAACAGATGCTGGCATATATTCATCATTTAACGCGGGTTCCTCATTTTTCTGGACTGAATAAAACGTGCATTGAATTTAAGGAAATGCAAACGTGAGACGTCATTTAGATTTGACCCATCAAAATGAATGCGGTCATTTATTTACAGAATCAAATTTAACATCAAACATGTACATTAATTTGGCAAATTATGAAAATAACAACAAAGCAATCAATCAGGAAAAATCATACGGCCATGATTTTTCCGTTGCTGCACCAAAGACATTTATGAAAACTGTACAACTATGATCTTTTGCCCACATGAATGTGGGTGAGCATTTTACACAGACATTTCTAAATATCTGGAAGAATTTCTACTTGATAGAAAAGTTTAAAGATGGAAAGAAGTTTAGAGGGAGTAAAGGATGGTGTGTGAGGGAAATTAAGTGTTCACCAGAATCGACACTCTCCGGCTTTCTTCAGCTTTTCCTTACAGTACACTTAGGTGATGAAATCGGCTCCTTTACCTGGAGATGTCTCAGGTGAGATTCCGTTTAACGCACCCTTTCAGCGTCTCAGTAGGATGCTGTTACTCGTCCGAAGTAATGGCGAGGCTCTGTTCGACACACATTCACCTCAGTGGAAAATGTTATAATCCCATGGAACTCGGAAGAGCTTTGTTGTCATGTCAGGAACTCCAAATACACTCCATCAGAACTTTAGCTCTCGTGTAGTTTACAGAACTCCCATGTAGTTTACAGAACTCCCACAGAACTGACTAGACCAGGAAGTACTGACATTTTAAAGACTCTTTCCCGGTTCACTTTTTGGGATTTGTTCATTGGTCAGAAACGACCAGACGGGGTGGGTTTTGTGACGTAAGAGGTTAGAGGCAGCGAGAATTGTTATGAGGCAGATCAGAAATGTTCTCACAGACAGAGAGGGTTTTGTTTTGGCGTGTTTCAGGAAACAGGTGCAAAACATCTCTACTTACGTCTGAGAGGATTCTAAAACATGACAGTTTTAACATAACAACTTGTTTTTCGTTTGACTGTAACCTTGTAAACGCACACACTTGCTCATTCAAAAGCAGAAATCAGAAAAATGCATAATTACTCTGTAACAGCTTTTAACATGAGTTCTAACTGCATGAGAATAAAAATCATTACTCAGTTAATAAAATTGATTAGTTCACTGCAACATCTAAAATGGTTTGAACTAAGACACTTTGATTATCAACATTTGTAGAATAGTAGTGATAATAAAAAGAGAGTGTTCTTTTCACTTGAATCTTCAAGAAAGAAAGTCTCAGGATGGGTGAACCTGTATTTATGTATTCAAATACATGAAATGACAGTTCCTGTCCCACAAGGTTCTAAAGGTCAAGAGTTTTGACCTTAGACTTAGTTTTTGACATGGGCCTAGTCCACTACACACACAAGACAGATTCAGGAATTCTATTTCTTTTCCAGATTTCACATTTGTTATTCCCTTTAAACATACTCAGACAACACTGGATGTATCTGTGAATTTTTTTTATTTTTTATTGGGACATCCATTTTTAGAAGTCACCCCGTCTTCTTGGAAACATGCACAGGAGCAGGAGGGCCACGAAAGGATTTTGCGGCTGCATATATTCCATTTGTTCTATCAAAACACTGCACTTTTAAAGGGTGTGTAGTGGTTATGTCTTCAGCATGACTCTGCACATGTCTTCTCATAATGTGCTTTTTCAAGTTTCTCTTATTAACTGTCAAATTACAATGAGGACACTGCACAGAAATTTTATTTCTAGTGACAACTCCTTCAGTGGAGTCTTTATTTAAATTTTGTTCTGTGTGTTGGCTTTGTGGCTCTCTGCATGCTCCCAGTGTGTTGGATGGGGCTTCTGAGGGACCAGGTGTTGGTACAGCTGGGGGGACTGGTGTGGAAGGACCAGGTGTTGGTACAGCTGAGGGGACTGGTGTGGAAGGACCAGGTGTTGGTACAGCTGGGGGGACTGACGTGGAAGGACCAGGTGTTGGTACAGCTGGGGGGATTGGTTTGGAAGGACCAGGTGTTGGTACAGCTGGGGGGACTGGTGTGGAAGGATCAGGTGTTGGTACAGCTGAGGGGACTGGTGTGGAAGGACCAGGTGTTGGTACAGCTGGGGGGATTGGTGTGGAAGGACCAGGTGCTGGTACAGCTGGGGGGACTGACATGGAAGGACCAGGTGCTGGTACAGCTGGGGGGACTGACGTGGAAGGACCAGGTG